TGACAGAAGTAACTTTGTAGTAATTGTGATGTTGTTTTTGTTGTATTCAACTGCAGATTGATACTTACCAGTAGAGATACGCTCACTCCGCCAGCAGACTCCCCAAATATTGTAACTACATCTGGGTTTCCTCCAAAGTTGTGAATGTGCTGCTGGATCCACCTCAGAGCTTCTACCTGATCCAGCATGCCAAAGTTCCCAGACATGTGCTCATCTCCAGTGCTGGAAAGGCAGATACAATTATATTGTTCACCGCCTAGTAAAAGTGACTACTTTTTCACATCAAATCCAATGTAGTGAGATATTATTTTAGTATGGTAATTCTAACTCTTCTTAGTGATTTGAGTGGTTTTAACCTGAGAAAGCCCAGAAGTCCCAAACGGTACTGGATCAGAACTACGACCATATCCTGGTAAGCAGCCAGGGCGGAGCCATCATACGTGGAAGCTGACCCCATACCAAACCCTCCACCATGAATCCAGACCATGACCTGGTAAGGTAATGAAAGCCCTTAAACTTTTCAACAAGCATTGAAGGCACATTCTTACTTAGATTCTCGATAAACCACATTAACAAAGACTTTAATATGACTAGATAATAACACAGATTGTGACATCAATCCCTTTGGGGTATGGTTTTAAAAAACCTACATTGTCACTCAGTATGGATTATTCAAAAGGAATCCTTATCCAAACCTGAATAAATTAACTGAGTATCACTCACGACATGGAGCAACTTACTGGAAGCTTGGCATCGAGAGTTCTGTTGGCAGGAGTGTAAATGTTGAGGTAAAGGCAGTCCTCTGAAATGTCTGGCAAATCCACGACCATGACACCAAGTTTTTCCAACATATCTAAGGTTAAGTTTTTATATTGAACACACCTGAAAAAGAAACAAGATTTTCAGTGAGTATTGAATATCATTTTAAAGGAAGGTATGCAACACCTGTAGCATGTGGAGGCCTTACATGGGGGGCTGCTTGGTGGCGTCTCTCACTCCTTCCCATCCCTCCACAGGCTGGGGGGCAGCCAGTCTCAGAGCAGGGCCCACAGGTGGCTTTGCAAATGGGATACCCAGGTAGGCATGGACCCCATTCTCCTGCCCCTTGACACTCAGAGTCTGACCTCTCAGGCTTCCCAGCTTTGTGTGGACTTCAGGTGCTGTGAGGATATTAGGACTGACTCAGAATCTCAATGTAATGCAATGTATCAGTGTAACTTACCAGGAGAAATAGCATGTCTAAGTAGCACATATATTTCCATCATGTAGGCAACATGTGTTCATTGGCTGGTTCTAGATTATGTTGGAACAAATAAATGGTAAAGTTTTAGATAATACAACAACTTTCCAATTGATTTCAGCCATGTCGAGCCCTATGGGTGACGTCACGGACACTACGTCCATTTATATACAGTCTACAGCAGGGGTGTCAAACTCAAGGTCCTGGGAACAAATCCGGCCCGTGACTTCATTTTCTGTGGCCCCACAAGAGCTTGCAAAGAATATAATATGTTTATTATACGGTTACATGATGATTTAATGAAGCACGTTGCCCATAAACTACATGTCCCACAATGCATCTCAAATTAGACTTTTTTTTCTCAGAATTTGACTTTTTTTCTTCTAAATATGCCTTTTTCTTAGAATGTGCTCTTTTCTCAGAATTTGACTCTTTTTTTTAAATGTTACATTGAGTTCAGGGGGGTATACTACGAATCTAGTTCAACATATCCTGGATATGTTTTGAGTTATCCGGTTGACTAAAAAAAAAAAAAAACCCGCTCACGCTGGCTATCAACTCGATCGCTCAAGCCAGCCGTGTCCTATCTAGTTAAGTGCGCGTTCACATAAAAGTTGTGGTATTTGGAGTGTTCGACCAATCACAAACATGGACAAGCCGTGTACTAACAGCGCAGCGCGTCATATATTTCCTGAATGAAAAGTCAACTAATATTAGACAAATATGAAGACGTTAAACTTTAAACATCCATGACTTAAACACTTTATCCAGGATAAAAGCCACATAGTTGCAGCAGCAAGGTGAATACTGCTGGTAAAAGAAAAAGTGTTTGAATACGTTAACAGTTTTACAGTAGCGTGGCGTGGGGAAAAATTTAGGGGAAGCCCATTTTTTTGGGTTGGTTGGGGGGGGTGGGGGGGGGGGGGGGGGGGGGGTGGTCAATAACGTAACCAGATGAGTGATTACAGCGCCCGGTATCATTTTACACACATTTGTATCACACAGATGCAGGACTTGCACACGCCTGTTATCTAACCGACAGGTCCGCACGCACTCTCCAGCCGAAACTCTCGTTTTATTAATTTAAGCATTTTCTTATTAATTTATGCAGACACACCCCCCCCCCAAATGCAATACCAGCCGCTCAATGCGCAGTGCAGATTCAGTAATGAATAAAAAAGAAGCATTCATTCACAAAGTAAATCAGGAGACCTTTAAAGTTTTATGTACACATCAAAGTATCAGTAGGCGTGTATGAAACACATGAATTCAAAAACAATTATGTACAGAAACATTTGCATGCGATAGTCCACCTTCTCTTCCCTTCCCTACACACGGCAAGTGCAGCAACAGTCCTCGTCTCTGTAATTAGCTCAGTCCGTAGTCCAAAAGTAACTAAAAAATATAAACAATCTCATCTATTCAGGTGAAATCGCCAGCCGCCTCTGAAGGGAAGCCACAGTTAGCTGGCTTCCCTTGGCATGGCCCTGACCAATCACAGGTTGGCAGGGGCATCACGTGGGCCTCATCTGATTGGTCAATCCCTCAATTTTTTTCACCAAGGGAAGCCTGATCCGACTAACCTCCTCTCGCAACAGTGAATGCAATCTACTGTTTCACCATAACATCTAGAGGGGCGCTGTTTGTTTCACTCTTTGTAATAAATACTCAATGAGAGTGGGGGAGAGACGGGCCGGCAGCAACACACAGCAAAGAAGAATTATCGAAACAAAACAAAGTGTTTTTATTTATTTATTTAAATTATAACTACAATCCGAAAAAACAGGGGAAGCCTGGCTTCCCTTGGCCTCCGGGAGAAAACGCCACTGCAGTTTTATGATATCACTGCTGCCCCGTCTAAAACACGAGTGAATCTGACTTTAATGACATTTGACTCGAGTGTTTCGTCAACTTAATGTGTTGCAACACTAGAACCGCCAATCGGGTCAATTTGACCCAGAGCTGTTTTTTTATTGTGTGTAACTTTTTTTCAATAAAATATTAAAGTCTTCCAGTCCGTGACTTTTCCTGAAAGTGTGTTATGTAGCACCCTATGTTGTTAAAAATTGTCAATATGAAGTCAGATTGAAGAAATCGCCCAAAAAATTGCCATTTATACCTATTTCCGCCAAGCGGATCATATTGACACCACCCCTTTTCATATAAACATGACGTGTTGCTATAGCAACGCCTTTTGTCTACTGCGGTTCCTCTTTATAGATTGAGAGATAGATTGAGAGAGAGAGAGAGAGAGAGAGAGAGAGAGAGAGAGAGAGAGAGAGAGAGAGAGAGAGAGAGAGAGAGAGAGAGAGAGAGAGAGAGAGAGAGAGATGGATAGATATATTGATAGATAGTTATAGATAGAGAGAGAGAGAGAGAGAGAGATAGAGACAGTCTGTAGTGAAGGAGTGCGCTCCCGCTCAGTCCCGGGAGACTGCTCGCGCTGCGCTCCGCTCCGCAGCAAACAGCTGTGGGGCGAGTTGAAAGTACGTTATGCTGGCCGCGGTGTCTAAATAATGCTTCCGGGCCAGCGGGCCATTTATAATGTCGAGCCCTGAGAGTCCACAGATTATATTGGTATACGTTTCATCCCTGTGCGATCAAAACTCACTGTTCAATAAAAGAACATTTTACCTTGAAAATCAATGCATTCTAATAGCGGGTCAATTTGACCCAGGTGGCGGTTTTAGGTATAAAAAATCTCTGGCGGTTCTAGTGTTAAAATAATACTTCTGCATACAGTATGTGACACTGTAAGTGTTGCACGGCCAGATACGGCTCAAGAAGCTGACTCAGATAAGGAAATATATTATACATTATGATGTGATATCATGTGATATGATGAATGATAATGGGACACATCGACGTCTGCACTCACAGTGCCGCGGACTGTAGGTTACTTATGTTGTGGCAGATATTTAAGTAAGCTTTCTTAACGCTAATGTTATAATAGTCAGATTGCTCTGAAGATGGGAGGTGATATTCTATTAATTTTCACGTTCACACAGTCGGTGATTTTGGCCGGCCGTCTTTCCTGCAACGGCAGTTTAAACTGTATTTCCTTTCTCCTCCCGTCATATGAATTGATCGCTTTAAACTCCGCACACTGAGCTCTGATTGGTTAGCAGGCAGTGCTTTTATCCTGGAACCTATCCTGCTCCGGAGGCTAGCCGTTCAGAATAAGTTATCTAGCCCGCTAAGAAGTGAACCAGCGTCGTAGGACCGGAAATCCAGGAAGTTAGCTTGCTATTAGGGTGGGCGATACCACCAAATCTGGATTCGATACCAAGTATTTCAGGGCCAGTATCGCCGATACCGATACTTTTTTAAATGAAAAGCTTCTTATGTACTTTCATGTAGGAGAGAGCTGCATGACATGATTTTTTAGCTGAATGCATCATAAATAGACTAAATCTGAATTCATTTTCATGATTAAAGACAGGACAGTTTTTATAGACAAATACACATTTTACTTTTGCAAATTTAAAGTGCAAACATGAAAAATAACAATACAAAGTGGCCACAGTAGCGAACTGCCTTCTTGCACACATCACAGTTCACTAAGTTTTCTTTGACAGTTGTGAAATAGCTCCACACAACGCTCCTCTTTCTCTCAGCCATCATGCGCGCGTTTGTGTCGCACTCGCGAGTCGCTGGCTGCTGCTGTCCTGCCCTGCTGGCTGCTGTCAGTCAGCTTGATAATCTGCGTTCAGGCAGGGAGCGCGCTGGATGTCATGCTGGTCTATGCTGGTTTTAGCTGGTCTATGCTGGTGAAGCTGGTCTATCAGCAGTCTTGCTAGCGAAACTGAAATAGACACAGACAGACAGAGAGGGCGGGACACGGGGGAACGGCGAGACGGCAGTGGTTGATACAAAGCGGTATGTTTTGACTGGCACTAACGGTCGAGGAGTGAAGATCAGTTGAACGTTTCTGTGACTCCGCCCAGCGGCTGCTCTTCTGAGAGGCACCGCTCTGACAGCTCTGTCTACTGGGAAACGTGCTAAAAGTCCTTCTGGAGGTAAGCAACACTACACAATTTCACCAAGTCTGAGAGTAAAAGCTTTCTCGAAGGTTCGTTTTGCTTTCTTACAACGTTACGTTAATGTTAACTTAACCTTACGTTTGCTAGGAGGCTAGCTGTCTTAGCTAACAACAGTTAGCAGCTAACGTTTTCTGCAGTTTGTGTTTCCCCTGAAAAACATGATGCAGCTATAAATTGTAAGTTAACTTAACGTTATCTTACAAGTTGAGAGAGTTACGTTTTGTTTAAAATCGTCAATGTAATGCCATTAGAGGTGTTGTGTTGAACATGAAGTTAGCTAACTGTAGCTCTCCACCAAAGGTTAGCATGTTAAGCTGTACTTTCTGTGGCAGCTAGCTTAATACAAAGAGGGTTTTTGTGCTTCATTGTAAACTTTTCTTACAAATGTGTGTTAATCTAGCTGAAATTGTGGGGACAGTTTTTTTCTACTCAATGATACAGACCATTGTTGAGGAGATGCAAAACATACATATACTTTGAGTAATGTTACTTTGCTGCTAAAAAATGAAACATTATCAGATAAGGACATCACCAAAGTGTGTGAGTCTGTCAGGGGATTTGATCTGTTCTTTGCATGTCGTACACACTGCTCTGGTATGAATTAAAAATATAATTGTAAAATGTAAATCTCGCTCTTGTCATCGTTCAGGCTTTGCATTTGAACCCTTATGACTGGTTGCGGACTTGAAGGGAACGCCTTCCTGACATCCAGGAAAAAAGTGAGATTCTAATCTAATCTAATCTATTTCAATGCCAAAAGCAAGTTATTGTTTTTAACTTTTTTTTTTTAAATATGATTTTTTGGGGAATTTTAGTTTTATTGGACAGTAGAGATCTACTGGAAACAGTGGAGAGGGAGGAGATGATATGCAGCAAAAGGCCGAGCCGGATGGTTGCTGCTCCATGTGGAACGTGTTCTATCAGGTAAAGCACTTTGGTACCCAGTTATTTATGGTATTGAGTTTGAATGTAGCCTTTGGAAGGTATTTTCCAACAGTGCATTGTAAAGACTGAAAAAACAGGCTCAGGTTAAAGCTTGACATGATTTGGTCTTTTACTTAAGAGGATGTTTGTCCTCCTGTCTTCTCTTATTTCCTTATCTTTCTTTCAGGTGTAACATCTACCAATGGTTGTACATGACACCACCTCTTTGCTGTCCTACTAGTCAACCCTCCCGCCTTTCCTAAATAGTGGTAAGTTGTTTTACAGTTCAGTGTACGTTAATTTAGCAACTTAATGCTTTACTGCTGTTGAATAAACCCTATATATATATATATATATATATATATATATATATATATATATATATATATATATATATATATATATATATATATATATATATATATATATATATATATATATATATATATATATATATATATATATATATATACATCCATCAGCAATCAATAAAACAAATCATCCAACACAAAATAAATCTGGACCTATTCTATTTCTTTTTATACCACAGCATCTATTGGGACAGCTCATTGATGTCATCAAGAGCCATTGAGTCTACCTTTTGTAGTCGGCCTCTCAGAATGTTTATCATTTCTTTGTCTCTTAACATTCCTATAATCATTTGTTTTTTTATTGTTGATATTGTTTTGTTCTTTATTTTTGTTGTGAGAATCACTTTGCAATTGTGTAAGTGCTATATAAATAGTTATACTAATATTATTGTTGTTACCATCATTACTATTATTAATAATGTCTTCTTTGTTTTCTTTATTTATCGCTGCAGAAAGGTTCAAAAAGTTCCCTGTACATGGAACCATGCCTGTCCTCTGTTCCACATGTCTTCAGTCCGTTCTGGACCCCATGACTCGGACACTAGTTCTACCAAGGCTCATTAGAGGTAAGCAGTGGTAGGAGAGTGGAGTTATCTTTGTATTTAGGCTGCAAGTCGACAAGAATAGATTACAAATCGCTTAAAAAATGGTTCAGATAAGAGGCACCATGTGTTACGCAGGTGTGGCGCTGATATAGTTTATATAATATGCGGTTGAACTTTAAAATCAAATTATTTCCGGTGCAGAGACAAACACTCGAGGTGGATGTATAAAGTACATACTGGTGTTAATAAAATATAGTGTATATCCCTCAATTTATCGACAATAAGAATGACAATACATACTTCCGGGTGTAAAGTAATATATCTATCATACTGTAGATCCTACACATCCACTGGAGGAAGATTCTGAAAGTAAAATATACACTTCTCACTAGAAATGTAATCATAAAGCATTATTATGGCCAAACTATCCTACAATTCAGGATTTTCCACTGAAAAAAGTGTTGGATTCAAGATTCAAAGGTTTTATTCTCATATGCTCAGCAGCTACAGTGTAGAAATGTCAATGAAATTCTTCTGACCTGAGCTCCTCCAACAATGCAACATATATAATAAAATACAAAAATACAAAATAAAAAGTAGTGCAAAAAGTTTATATACATGTAATATAATAGAATATGATATTTACAAGAACAGAATATTAAATAAAAAATTAAATACGGTGTATTGCGTGGACAATAGACCCAATCACAGTGAATGTTCAAAACTAAACTTGATACATTTTTCTTTTTCATCTCACAGTGCACATATTTAAGTAATCATAACACAAAGCTAAAATGTAATCTGTTTTTCCTTTCTCTTTTCAAGAGTGCTTCAGAGGATGGCTGAATTCACAAAACGTGGAGAAGACCGAGAGGGAGAAGTTGGCCGGTTACTACATTTCACAAAAAATACAGGACCTTGTGAAAAGCGGAAAGAAACAGTTGAAGGAAATTGCTTAAAAATATGAAGTAATGGGTGTTTTGAAAATGTTTTCAAATGTGTGTTAATGTTCATTGTGTGTTATAAATTATTTTCCTGCTTCTAATCATTTGATGTATGAGTATTTATTTACAAACATTCTATACATTCTGGTACCTTTCTGGTAAGGTAGGTGCTCTGATCTGAAATGATAGATGTTCATTGAGCTACTGCAATTGGGTGAGAGTGTTTCATCATCATATATGACCAGCTTAACCATCAAGTAATCCCAGTTAAAGTTCTACTCAAGATCATACCAGTCGGACCAGCTAATGGTGACCAGACCACTGTGACCACCAGCTTTTACCAGCTAAACCAGCTAATGGTAACCAGCTAGACCACTGTGACCAAACCAGCTATCCTGACCAGCTAGACCACTGTGACCACCAGCTTTTACCAGCTAAACCAGCTATCCCGACCAGCTAATGGTGACCAGCTAGACCACTGTGACCAAACCAGCTATCCTGACCAGCTAAAGTGTCCAAAACCCCTCTTAACCAGCAAACTAATCCAGCCTAATATTGACTGGCTGGTCAGGCTGGTTTACCAGCCTGACCAGCCAGACCAGCCTTGTTGGTCTGGCTGGTTTTTTCAGCAGGGGAGAGAGAAGAAAAGAGCGCATATACTTGTGTTCGTCTGCACATCGTTTTTGATGAAAATGACGAGTAGAGGAGAGGGGGGAAAAAGTATTAAAGTATCAATTCTATTGGCTCTAGTATCGATATTTTGAAACGTAACGTAATATCGGAAGTATCGATATTTTGGGATCGATCCGCCCACCCCTTGCTAAACGAAAATCTTGCTTCGTAGTATAGGCCCCTGGTCTACAGTCTTTAATCTTCTTTGCCATGCTGTTTGTATAACTAAATCAAAAATATAACTCACTAATTAGTTGAATATCATCTTATATTGCATTACATGAAGACAGCAAAAAAAAGAAATATTAACTACAGCATGAACTCTTATCCTAATTTGCTCTTTGGCAGAGATGTTTCACCTTTGGACATAGGCACGATCGTCAGTGGCTGAAAGGTCAACTCGATTGAGGCGTAAGAAAATGCAAACAGGTTGCTTCAGTCATAGACCTTTTAAAAGACATTTAAAGAAAATCAACTTCTCCATTAGGCCTACGTGCTATCTAGACTAGCTTGCAGCCAGATCTGCATACAAGTGTTGCCACGGACTTTATCGTGCAAAGAAATAAGTAATCTACTTCACTTACCATGTGGATCTGCAGCAACATCGAGGAATAAAACAGACGTCAGAAAGAAGAAAGTTTGTTTTGCACGGAACGTCATGGTCTCGGCTGGTTACACACTGCTTGGTTCTGCAAACAGGAAGGACTTGCAAACTGGAAATGAAACCTCCAAAGAAGCTGTCTCAACTTTGACCAGTTGAATCCTGCACTTATTAACCTATTACGTGCAGTAGCGTGGCGTGGGGAAAAATGTAGGGGAAGCCCATTTTTTTGGGTTGGGTTAATTTATGCAGACACGCCCCCCCCCAAATGCAATACCAGCCGCTCAATGCGCAGTGCAGATTCGGTAATGAATAAAAAAGAAGGGTTTGAATGGGGTGAAGCCACTTTGCCTCACTTTTATCCGAACTGCAGTGCATTGTGGTCAGCAGAGCGGAGATTTTCAGGATTTTCAGGATTTACAGGATTTGATTCAAAGTTTAAAACCTGTTTGGGGAGTTTATATCAGTTTACTTAACTTCGGGCCTCTGAAGGGAAGCTAGAGACGGCTGGCTTCCCTTGGCATGGCCCTGACCAATCACAGGTTGGCAGGGGCATCACGTGGGCCTCATCTGATTGGTCAATCCCTCACCAAGGGAAGCCAGATTCCGGTGGCCTCCTCTCGCAACAGTGAATGCAATCTACTGTTTCACCATAACATCTAGAGAGGGGCACTGTTTGTTTCACTCTTTCTTTGTAAAATACTCAATAGAATGGCGAAGTCCCTCCCCTTCCGGTTGAGCCCCATGGGACCTTATTTCGGAAAAGTTATGCATTAGCCGCGTTCACACCGGAGTACTTTCACCGTACTTTTCGCGTTTTAGTTCCGTGAGTCGCGTTCACACCAAAAATCGTACTTAATCTCGGGTACTTTTACCCCCATTTTTAGAGCCAACTCAGAGAGCGTACTTTTCTGTGGGTGAAAAGTTCTCCAAAAGTGCCCCAGTGCTGATTGGCTGGGCGAATTGCAAACCACGCCCGTACAACTCTGAAAATGTTGTGTAGAGCCGCCATTGTTTTTCCTCGCTACAAAAACACAACGCTCCGTGCGTTGTGTTTGTTTTTGAAAGCAGTTATGGCAAGCATCAAGAAATGATGAGGAGGTGTCGGCGCTTCTGGAGATCTACGCAGAGGACATTAAACAAAGTTCAAGCATACATGAAGCACTCTTCAAAAAGGAACAATCCTCCGTGTTTGAACCTCTTAAATCGCTGCATAGCCGATTTATTTGGACTGGATTATCCCAGAGGGTCTAAACATTCTTTATAACACAGTTTCAGATTTGTGAAACCTTAATTCTATTTGTGAAAATACAAAAAAACATTCCTAGTATGTTGTAAAACTACATGGCGACTAAACAGATCTTGTATCTTGCTTATTTTCCCCTCTTAGGAAAGCGGACACGGGATGCGAATTTCTTTGACACCGCCCAGGCGTTGGAGGACCGGCGTGCCGTGGTGAATGAGTCGCTGCGTGGAGATCAGATGGTGCTGTTCACCAAGGCCCAGGAAACGGAGGACAAGATGCTCACCTCGATGGAGCGCCAGGCAGCAGATGGAGCGCCAGCAGCACCAGGATGAAGTGTGGGCGCTGCGCCATGAGGAAGCGTCGGCGCAGCGGCAGGATGAGCGACAAACTGCATTTAATAACAGTTTATTTGGTATAGTTTTTGTAAATACTGACACACGACACACAACGTTGCACTAAGGTGTGCATGCTGCTGAGAATATCCCTACACCTGGGACAGTTTATTTTATATTGTTATTACTGTTATGACTTTATTTTATATATAATGTTTACTGACATGTACAACTGACACTTTATTTACATTTAAAATTGTTCTATTTAATGTTATGTCTTGAG